CAAAATGCTGCTAAAAGCTATTAACCAGTACGTGTTAATTGCCGCAGCATTCATATTAATTTTCACTTCAGGCCCGACATTGCTGAATATTTCCCTTGATACGTTTTAAACAAAGTTTAATTTAAGGAACTGCTTCTATCAACACTTATGAAAATTAACAGCCAAGCAATTAGTACTCATGAATTATCCTTTCCCCCTGCCTCCTTGCTAAAAAACAGTTGCTAACAAAGAAAATGTTGTTGGGTTTTTTTTCAGACAGGGCTCGCTGGCCTTGGACACCCCTTTCCCCCCCAATGCCCCCCAACCTCAAATTTGATGGGCTCAGCCGCAAAGGGCTGAAATATGTTATCAGATTATGGCAGGGAAGTTTTATTTTTGCTGCGTTTATCGGAAGTGCAAGGCAGAGGTTTAAAAAACAACAACAATCACCATTTTTTCCCCTAGTTCAAAAGCTTCGGGATGTTTGATTTTCTATTGTTTTCACAACCTGAGCAACTCCTAGAAACTTTGCATGGATGAACCAATATGGACAGAAAAGGAGACATTAATTCAGGGTAAGGGTCTACGAAGATTCCCACCCATTCAGGTTGTCCCAAAGGTGCTTTTTCAAAAAGACGTTGTTGTTTTTTTTTTCCTTGAAGACGAAGAACGGAAGAAGCTTCTTGGATGAGAAGCGAAACGTCTTGAAGGAAAAACGAAGTTCGGTTCGTTTTTGGGACAATTTAGGATAAGGTTAACAGAGGTTACCTTATTATTATTATTATTAAGGTAATAGGGACACAGTGGCTCAGTGGCTAAGACGCTGAGCTTGTCGACCGAAAGGTCGCCAGTTCAGTGGTTCGAATTCCCAGTGCCGCGTAACGGGGTGAGCCCCCGTGACTTGTCCCAGCTTCTGCCAACCTAGCAGTTCGAAAGCACGTAAAAAAAATGCAAGTAGAAAAATAGGGACCACCTTTGGTGGGAAGGAAACAGCATTCCGTGCGCCTTTGGCGTTGAGTCGTGCCGGCCACATGATCACGTCTTACCCATGGATGGGGTATTTTTTGGCTGGAAATTGTTGTTGTTGTTGTTGTTGTTGTTGTTGTTATTATTATTATTATTATTATTATTATGGTTTTTCGCACAGTCAGCCAGATGTTCAGACTAAATTTGGCATTTCTGTCTGCCTATCGTCCTGCCGAAAGAACTGGGGTAAGCAGATGAGGTATGATTGCGGGAGGTAAACTTTATTTTATTATTATTATCTCTTTTATTTATTAAATAAAATTTTTTATTTATTTATTTATTAAACATGAAACTCAAGTGAAGTGAGTTTTGCCCCAGTTTACAACCTTTCTTGCCACAGTCATTAAGTGAGTCACTGCAGGTGTTAAGTGAACCAGGTGGTTGTTTTTGCAGCTGAATAGAATAGAGTAGAGTAAGTAGAGTAGAAGTGGAATGAAGAGGAATGAAAAATGAGTAGAGTAAAGTAGAGTAGAGTAGAGTAGAGTAGAGTAGAGTAGAGTAGAGTAGAATAGAATAGAATAGAATAGAATAGAATAGAATAGAATAGAATAGAATAGAATAGAATAGGAATGAAGAATGAAGAATGAAGAATGAGTAGAGTCGCATCCTGGACATAAATAGTTTCAACTCCTACCCTCAAAACGAGGCTATAGAGCACTGCACACCAGAACAACTAGACACAAGGACAGTTTTTTCCTGAACGCCATCACTCTGCTCAACAAATAATTCCCTCAACACTGTCGAACTAGTTACTAAGTCTGCACTACTATTAATTTTCTCATCGTTCCTATCACCCATCTCCTCCCACTTATGACTGTATGACTTAACCTTGTTGCTGGTATCCTTACGATTTATATTGACTGTTTCCTAATATGATTTGGTTGTTTATTTGTTCCCTATGACTATCATTAAGTATTGTACTTTATGATTCTTGACAAATGTATTTTTTATGTACACTGAGAGCGTAGGCACCAAAGACAAATTCCTTGTGTGTGGCCAATCACACTTGGCCAATAAAAGAATTCTATTCTATTCTATATTCTAATCTAGAGTAGAATAGAACAAAAATTTTATTGTCATTTTAAATGTTCACTAATCAGCCTACATTAAAATAAAATTTTCGTGGCATTCAGCTCTCAAAAGATAACCAACATCCATATACCCACAAACACACACACACATATGACACAAAGAAACATCACATTCTATGTATACATATACCTACATGGCCAAAACAAAGAAGAAGGAGAAGAATCCTGTGAGTTTACAAGACGGATGGCAAGCCTTGATAGTACAGTGGTCTAATGCATCCTGTTATTAACACAGCTGCCTGCAATTTCTGCAGGTTCGAATCTCGCCAAGGCTCAAGGTTGACTCAGCCTTCCATCCTTTCTAAGGTAGGTAAATTGAGGACCCAGTTTGTGGGGGCAATAAGCTGACTTTGTATAAAATATACAAAAGGATGAAGGCTATTGCTTAGCGCATTGTAAGCCGCCCTGAGTCTCCGGAGAAGGGCGGCATATAAATCAAATAATAATAATAATAATAATAATAATAATAATAATAATAATGAAACAAAACTGGTACAGAATCTTAGGAATCGTGCTGTAGATACTTCGAAACCTCCTCCCAGAGGGAAGCAACAGAAACAGACTGAAAAACCGTCATATGTCCCTATTATCAGTTACTGCTGTAACTCTGGTCACTAAAGGAATGGTTGTAAATCAAAGACTGTCTGTACTTGGCTTAGGATAAAATGTTCACACCTTTTAAACAACTCTTTCCCTCTTTCTAAAAAACCCCCCTTTCCCCCCCCACCCCGGATTTCAAATACGACAATTTGAATTCCTTTTATATGTAGGAAGAGTTGCAGGTTTTTTTGAGGGTTTTTTCTTTTTTTTTTTTGTTTTTTTGCAAACATTCATAAATTCTGTGCCTGGGAATAGAAACGTGCCTGATTTGCATAATTAACTGAACCAGTTGGGTCTCTTGAGGAAGGAATGCCTAATTGGGAAGAGATGGGGAAGTCTATTACGGGAGGAGGAGGGGGGGAGTTTGGGGGCCTAATTAAGCATGTTTTTTATTTTAAAAAAAATCCCTACTTAATTATATATTTACTCCAGAGGCTGGGGTGACTCTTTAAATTTTTTTTTTTTTTTTGGTTTTCAGATTGGGAACACGAGCTTTGATTCTCTCTTCTTCTTCTTCTTTTTTTAAAGAAAAGAAACAAGTTTTAACGATCGGGGGAAACGTTCCTTCTCTTCTCGACTGGCTCAGTAAATTTTTATTTTGATGGGGGAGAAAAGCAAAGCTGAGCTATTGAAACTTGAGAAAGCGAGCTGGCAGTAGTTAAGCTGATCCTTCGCCGAATTTTTGTGCAATGATGGCCGTTTTTGAATAAGAGCTGGGGAAAAAAAAAAAAAAACCAACCACCACCTCAAAGCGCCCCCAAAAATGCAGTGATAAAAGATGCATCTTTATGGACTCGTCGCGTCTTTTCTTGCTGGCGTGCATCGGGGAGGCCTACGTTGCTTAATTGTCACAGGCAATATTTTATCGGAACAGATTTAAGGCTCTAACTGAACTCTACTAAGCTATGCAATAAGAAGTTTTGGTTCATCTTCGGCTTTTGTGCCTTGGGTAGTATACATCTGGGACTAATAAACCCTAGTTTTATTAACCTAACAAGTAAGTTGAGTAGAGCTGAATTCCCAAACTGGCTCAGGTCACGATGGTGTTAAAACTGTCGTTGCTTCAATCTAAATTGTTTGATGAAACCATCAGGGGCTGATTGACATCTGGGATTCCGACAGAAAGCAAAATATAGGGTTTGATTGGACCTCCAATCTTTATCTTTATCTTTATTCAAATTTCTATACCGCCCTTCTCCTTTCGGACTCAGCGGTTAAGATTCCACAGACCAATAAAACTTGATTATGGAGAAATACTACCGTGTTTTCCCAAAAGTAAGACCCTGTCTTATATTTTTTTTGAACCCTGAAATAAGCGCTTGGCCTTATTGCCATGCGCTCAAAAGCCCCATGGGGCTTATGATCAGGGGAATGTCTTATTTTGGGGGAAACAGGGTATTGTTTCTATCCTTAATGATAAGGACACCATCCTGCAGAATTAAGGAAGGGGTTGGTTTGATGGACGGAGAAAGCTATGCTGGGAATTGGTGTAGATCAAGAGATAAACTGAAGGTGTTTTGAGAACTTTGCTTTCATTTAATTTGGAATAAGCTGAGAATGAGTTAATTCTCAGCCGTTTTAATAAAATCTGTTTGTTTTTTGGGAACTGTTTTGCATTTAATATTAACTACGTGGGCCTGGGTCACAACCTGGCCTAAATCTTTTTAAATGTAAATTTTCATTTGTTTTTTAAATTATGGGGTATTTTAAATTTGTCTCAGCCAAATTATTTAATTCGTTTTTATTCTATTTTAAATTTTTTGTATTTATGTGTTTTATTCTGTGGCTGTTCACTGCCCTGAGTCCTTCGGGAGTAGGGCGGTATAGAAATCCAATAAAATAAATAAATAAATAAATAAATAAATAAATAAACAAACAAACAAACAAACAAACAAACAAACAAACAAACAAACACTGGGTCAGCCAATGGGGACTGTTTGGAAACTGAAACTAATCTGCTGAATTGAAACTGAAACTCATCTCTGCTGTACTCTTGTGTGTGTTTGTCCTTACAATCCCTCCTCTCTACCACGTTGGAAGAATCAGCCATTGTATATTTCTCTTCACGTGTTCTATCGTATATAAAGAGAAGTTAACGAATCCTGCTGAATCAGTTATCTGTGTGTGCTTTCTGGATACGATTTTTGCAACAAACTCTGACAGAATCCAATCACTGTTTCAGCTTCCTGAATCCGAGCTGCGCTTGGATTAGGACGTTTTATTTCGGGGGACCCCAAAGCAACAATGGGGGGGGAAAAAAAAAACAACAACCAAAAAACAGAGCCGCGCGTTGCTCTCGCTTACCTTGCCATCAAACTTGGAGTATTCGTTGAAGGGGTTGTTCAGCTGCAGAGGACACTGTTCCAGTCGGACTGAGAGGATTGATGGCTTCACGGGAGTATGGACCGGCTTCACCTTGAAGTTCTTCTTCTCAAAGAGGCGGCTCAGTTCTTCGGCTGGGGGTTCAAAGAACGAGAGGATCACGGCAACGTCTGAACAGCTGCCGGAGATTCTCAAGTCACGGTGGTCTCAAAGATGCTTTTTTTCCAAGGGCAACGGGAGTTGGGTTTTTCCTTGAGGAAGACGTTTTGCTTCTCTGCCAAGAAGCGAAGCGTTTTCCTCAAGGAAAAAAAACTGAAGTCCAGTTGCCCTTTGAAAAAAGCACCTTTGAGATGACAACATCTGCTGTCCTCGTCCTGATAAACCCCTTTTATTTAATTTACAGTGAATTCCTCTCCAGCAAAGTCTTTCCTCTCCCACAGCCTTTCAAGATCGTTCATATTTACCAACCTTTATCGGGCTTGGAGAGTGGCCAGGCCGATATCTTTTAGATTCCACAATACTTGGCAAGAATGCAGGAACAGATCTTCACCCAAATGAACTAACTGTCTCCTGCAAACTCCCCTCCCCTTCGCTCCTCTTTATTCCCTATGGGAGGGGCCATTCATCGTCCACCTGTGGCTTTACTCCTGAGTCGACCCTTGTTTCTTAGCTGTTCCCTTCTCCTGGCAGCTCTGCGCATGCGCACACTGGGAACAGGATCCAGCTGTTCTTCTACCTCACTGATGTCCGACTCCGAAGGCAGCTGACAACTGTCAGACGGCCCTGGCCCTCTCTCTGCCTCCGACGCAGAGCCCTCATCAGAGCCTTCCCCAGACTCCAGGACTGGCCCATGTTCCTCCCCAACCTCCTCACTGTCTGAGTCTGCTGCCAGATCCACTGGTCACTGGAGGGGCCACAACAGACGCTCCCTCTAAGGCTGAAGCCCCCCAATGGAAAGCTAGTCTATGGGGAACTGGAATTTAGTGCTTAAGCTAAAGAATCATAGTTAACCAGGGTCCCTCTCCCCATTAATTAAAGTATATAAAGCTAAGGTTACCCTTATGCTCTTGTATGGAGCAGAAATTTGGGGTCTACACTCAACCACAGTCCTAGAAAAAAAAAAAAAACACACAGTCCCAGCATTTGAGATGTATTTTGGGTGTAGATTTAAGAACATCATTTGTTAAACGGCAGAATGAAAACTTGCCCGACGGGAGCTAGCTCACGGAGAGGACAGCGTGAGCCAAAAATATTGAGATGGAGGAGGTGCAGCTGGGCCACCGTTACCAAAAAAAAGAAGACGCTGAGCTAACTCAACAGAGGCACGGAAGAGCTAACTGAGGATTAAATGGTCACCACCGTCACTAACACCATGTATGTCACAGCCTCTGCGTCAGCTGTTTTACCTATTTCGAAAAGACCACTCTGCTTTGGAAAAAAAAAAAACACAAAATCAGAAAGAAATTCCTATCAAGCAGTGTTTAGAGTGCAGTACTGCAGGCTACTTCTGCTGATCCCCGGCTGCCAGTAATTTGGCAGATCGGTTCTCACCAGGCTCAATTTTGACTCAGCCTTCCGTCCTTCCAAGGTCGGTAAAACGAGGACCCAGATTGTTGGGGGATCAGAGGCTGACTCTGTAAACCGCTTAGAGAGGGCTGTAAAAGCAGTTTGAAGCGGTATATAAGTCTAAGGGCTATTGCTATAGTGCTATCGCTAACAATGATCTTGAGATGCTACGTCGAGTTATTCTTCGGGGCTTGACCATCTGATGTTGAGTTTCATCGGTCTGGTTAAAAAAAGCTCATTTTTTAACAGGCAATTTTGCTCGTCAGGAAAAGATTGCGAAGATCCCGGCTTATGGTTTGTTTGTTTGGCTGGCACGGGTGCCGATTCCATCTCCAAAATTATTCTCTGCTTGAATTAAGGGAAGTGTTGGGTGTGTTTGTGTGTTTGATGGGGTAATCTGGGAAACTATGATACGGCACAAAGGATCAGAAGACAGGACTTGATTTGAGGTCGTTAATGTTCTCTGCGTTTGGTTGTTTTCTTGCAGACGTTGTAACCTGACTAGGGAACATCATCAGTGCTGGAAAGAAGCGGGGTGAGGTGTGTTGCTCTCTCTTTACATACAAATGGTTTGAGGAGCCTTGGTAGTACAGTGGTTTAATGCACCCTGTTATTAAGACCAGCTGCCTGCAATTTCTGCAGGTTCGAATCTCCCCAGGCTCAAGGTTGACTCAGCCTTCCATCCTTTCTAAGGTAGGTTAAATGAGGACCCAGTTTGTGGGGGCAATAAGCTGACTTTGTATAAATATACAAAAGTATGAAGGCTATTAACGCATTGTAAGCCGCCCTGAGTCTCCGGAGAAGGGCGGCATATAAATCAAATTAAAAAAAAATAAAAATTGTCATTTGCTACAGGAAGGGGTTTTCCAAGCTTCTTCGTTCACAGCCACAGAATTTAAGTAGAGCACTTCCCAAAATAAGGTGGGACCTTAATAATGTTGCAAAATACAACAGTGTACAGTTCATAAACAGTGAACTGGTTATTTCCATGTACCGTTAAGGGAAAACAAGGGAAAAAAAGCGGAGAGAATTTGCTGGGAAAGGCGTCCGCTGTGAAGGCCAATTCCCGAAAGGACCAGCTGAACTGCAAGGAATCTCGTTGTGTATTCACCGAATGGATAAAGCTTTAAAGTGACGAAATGCGACTCTTTTACGTTACGAGCTTCACAGCTTCTCAGAATAAAACGGAATTCTCTCTCGCCAGTCCCGCTCCTGGGAGGAACAGCAGCTCAATAAATAAAACAGTGGACCGTAGTGCGTAGTGAACGAAGGCGCACAACGAAACCCACGCCCTTTGGCTACCCTTGAACAAAGAGGACAAAAAACTAATCCGCTCAGATTAGCAGCTCAGCTAAGGGCAGCGACTAGTGCAGCTCAGGACAACAGAAGTGGTTCCAAAGCTCGGGATCGTTCTCTTTACGGGGTCCGGAATGGAACTGCTTGTGGGAAAATGGGGAAACACAACTAACAGCAACCCTGGCAATCTCTAAAGCTTTAGCTCAGTGGTGAAATCCTCCGTGGGTTGCTTCCGGTTCGCTGTGGCATGGTAAATGTGTGCACAGTGCACACGAAACGCACACTTCATGTGGAAAAAGAATGCTTAAGAAGGTAAGTAGAACATCAAAGGCGGGGAACAGCTGTGCTGCGTGATTTAGATTCGCTAGAAAGTCGGATTTCCTGCTTTCTAGCGAATCTAAATCGCGCGGCACAGCTGATCGTCGGAAATACCAGTTCGGATGAACTGGTAGCTTTTTTTCCCTACAGGTTTGCCCAAACTGGTAGCTTTTATTACTATCAGTTCGTGCGAACCGGTAGCATTTCATCCCTGCTTTAGCTGTTCCCAAGGATTGAATCTTATCGGATCCATCAGGACAAAAAAACAGAAGCAGGCCTCCTCCAAAATATTCCAGCTCTTGACCAACCTGTGGTTAAACACGGGTGTTGGACTACAAGTCCCATCATCCCGCTTGCTCATGAGATCTTCTGGCTAGGGATGATGGACCCTGAAGTCCAGATGGGTGGCATTGCATGGAGGGACAGCTCACATTTTCGGTGAATTCTTTAAAGGGAGCTTGTCCGGCGTTGCTCATCTTTTTCCCCCAAGCGATCTCCAAAATTGTTCTCATCCTTTAAGGTAAAGGTTCCCCTCGCACATATGTGGTAGTCGTTCCTGACTCTAGGGGGCAGTGCTCATCTCCATTTCAAAGCCGAAGAGCCAGTGCCGTCCGAAGACGTCTCCGTGATCATGTGGCCGGCATGACTAAATGCCAAAGACGCACAGAACGTTGTTACCTTCCCACCAAAGGAGGTCCCTATTTTTCTACTTGCATTTTTTAGATGCTTTCGAACTGCTAGGTTGGCAGAAGCTGGGACAAGTCACGGGAGCTCATCCCGTTACGCGGCACTAGGGATTCGAACCACTGAACTACCGAACTTCTGATCGTCTTAGCCACTGAGCCACCACGCCCCATTCTCATCCTTTATCATGCAACAATTTACAGACAAAGCAGGTTTTATGCATGAAACAGGCCTGGAAACAAACAGTGAATAAAATAATGTGGTTTTTTTACCCGAACAGGTGGCATTTCTTTCTTTCCACTGAACGTTTTTGCATTTGATCTGATTCTGCCTCTCTTTCCTTAGCCGTTCGAGTCTCTGAGCTTAGAAACAGGAGAGAAAAAAAAAATATTATAATGTTTAAGTTTGTCAACGAAAGTTTGCTATGAACAAAAGACATAATTAACTACCTTTCTATGAATAAAGATGTTTTATGCTGCACATCTATGGGTGGGGGTGCAGGCAATAAAATTTTAAAGGTGGCACTTCTGAAAAGCAAATACCAACAAAAACATGAAAATGTTCTTGATTTATAATTGAAATTAGAGGATATAAAACATTAATAGAGATCATAAAGATAGTATTAACATGGAAGAGAATAATAAAATGTGAAAACTTCTGTGATTAATATGACATTTCATTATATAAATCATTAATAACGGTCTTAAAGGAATTTTAATGCACAAATGAACTGAAGTGAATATTACATTACAGGAATAAAATTACTGTTATGAATTACTCTCCCCGTTTCAAAAATTAAAGATAAATGAACTCAGACTAGACTATTAAAGTTTTAAATATAAAATCTTTTATCTAAAAAAAAAAAAAATCGTGAAAATTATAAAATGTCAACGCTATATAAATTAGCATAGCTTTTCCTTCCCTCTGCTGGAACAGTTTATAGGTAGTAAAAATAAATGATTTGTATCTGCGCAACATTAGTCAAATCTTAAAAAATGAATATCATTTTTCCTCTTTACATATTTTCGAGTCCACATCCAAAACAGTCCATGTTCAAATAGGTGGAATATCAGTAATCAGGAGACGGGTGTCTTCGCTGCCACTTGGAATTCTCTCTATGTTTTAAATGTCAGATATATTTTTTACCCCCAAGGAGACAAAGAAGAAGAAACGTTGGAGAAACTGGTGAAGACTGGTTTAAAAAAAAGAAAAAAGAAAAAAAAAAAGAATTTCTCTCTCTGAATGTACAAACTCCCAGAAAAACGACATGTCGAGACTCGGAATTTTTTTTAGCCAAACTAGGCTAAAAAATAAAAATGAGTGATTTACCATACAGGCAAGTCCTAAACTTATAACAGCTTGTTTAGTGACTATTCAAAGTTACAAAGACACTTGAAAAAAGTAACTGATGATCATTTTTCACACGATCGTTGACTCATGGGCACGTGATCAAAATTCAGATGCTTGGCAACTGATTCATACTTATGACGGGCTAAACATATTTTTAATTTTTAATTGGTTTGTCATTTTAAACTGGGGCCAAATTAGTATATATTCTTTTAATTGTTTTTAATGTTTGCATTGTATGTTTTTATCTGGCTGTACACCGCCCTGAGTCCCTCGGGAGAAGGTGCAGTATATAAATGCGAAATAAAATAAAAATAAATAAAATAAACAGCTGCGGCAAGTAAAAGGGGGCAAAACTCACTTAAATGTTTCACTTAGCAATGGAAATTTTGGGCTCAGTTGTGGTCATAAGTCAAGGACTACCTGAATAGTGATTACTTTCTGATGTGGGTTTTGGTTTTTTTTTTCCTTCCCTGACTTGAGTAGTTAAAAAAGGAAAGCTAGTAAAATTAAATAAGCCCCAAGATCCCCTCATAAGCGGTGTGCCTACAAAGTCAGTTTATTGCTCCCAACAATCCGGGTCCTCAATTTACCTGCCTCGGAAGGATGGAAGGCTGAGTCAACCTTGAGCCTGGTGAGATTTGAACTCGCACTAATTTCAGACAGCTGGCAGCTAAGTGCTACATAACAGCACTTTAGTCTGCTGCACCACCAAGGCTCATCTACCTTTGGCCATCGATTGGGCAACGATTTGTCTGAAATTGTATAAGGTTTCCTGATTTGTCCGATTTGTCTGAAATTGTATAAGGTTTCCTGCTCGAGCAGGAGGTTGGTCCCTTCCAACTCTGTTATTTTGTTAGAACATAGACTAACAAAGTTGGAAGGGACTTTGGAGGTCTTCTAGTCCAACCCCCTGCTCAAGCAGGAGACCCTGGACCATTTCATACAAGGGGTTTAAGAATGCCACGCTGAATACGCTTACTCAAAACTACATTGAGTAGAGGAAGATTCCCATATCTACGATGCTTGATTAACAAGAGTTGGAAGGAATCTTGCAGGAATCTTGTAGGTCTAGTCCAACCCCCTGCCCAAGATCTTCTAAAGCTCAGAAGGTATGTAAATAGAAAGACAATAAAAGAGGGAAAAGGACCACTTGGAGCAATCCTCGGCTTGACTGGAAAGCCCACGTTCAATCGAGGACATCCTCCAGGGGAGAGAAACGGAGCTTTGAAGAGAGACTTAAGACATAGTCACTCAACTTATGACCAAAATCGGGACCAGAGTTTCCCTTGTTAAGCAAGGTGGCTCTTAAGTGAATCACAGTTTTGTTTTTTGTTTCAAAATAGTGTCGATTATGTTCCCAGTATAATTTGTGAAGGGGGCATGAGGTGAATGAGGAGAAGGGTGGATTGGTGTCCCATTTTAGGTCAAGAAGCTCAGCGCTGGTCCATTCTGGTCCGTCCAAATTCAACCCAACGCGGTGACAACTTTCAACGTTCCTGTCTCTGCCTTTCGGCCTCTTTTCAATCTTGGACCATGAAGCTTACAAGATTTGCCAAGAGCATGGAAGGTAGCAAGAACGGAGTCCCAGAATATCTGGTATCTTACCGGCTTGTCAAATTCTTGGCTAGCTGTCTAGTAATTTATATTGGTGAGAAGCTGCTGTCCAAGGTGCTGGATCTTGGCAAAACAGCTTAACTGGGACCAGAATTTCCACCGCTAAGTGAAGTGGGGTTGTTAGGCGAAACACCCTATGATTTCATTGCTTGGGGACAGCAGTTTCAGGACTTCTAGTCGTGGTCATTATGGGAGGACTGGACTGTCAGTAGGCGAGGACCGGGTACCGGTTTTAAGGGAAATCCGTTCTAGTTCTTGAGCCAACGAAAGACATCAATTCAGACTCAGCTGTCTCATTCTTCGAAAGCTGGGAGAAAAGTCAATGATTGGAAGTCCCTATTTGGTTATTTCCAATAAAGGAGCATTAGGTTGAATTAGAATGCTACAGATAATTAAACAATTAAGTGTGTACCCAATCGAGAGGAAGCAGAGGTTCCAAAAAATGAAGAGGAGGAACAATGAGTGTATATGAGTGTAGAAGGAAGGACAAACTTTTCTATGTTTCAATCAGTATGTATGGATGGATGGATGTATGGATAGAGAATAATTAGAACTGCAGAAAAAACAATTACTACCAACCTGCCTTCCATGGAGGACCTGTATACTGCACGAGTCAAAAGGAGGGCTGTGAAAATATCTACAGACCCCTCGCATCCTGGACATCAACTGTTTCAACTCCTATCCTCAAAACGACGCTATAGAGCACTGCACACCAGAACAACTAGACACAAGGACAGTTTTTTCCCAAATGCCATCACTCTGCTAAACAAATAATTCCCTAAGTCTGCACTACTATTAATCTTCTCATCGTTCCCACCACCCATCTCCTCCCACTTATGACGGTACGACTGTAACCTTATTGCTGGTATCCTTAAGATTTATATTGACTGTTTCCTAATATGATTTGATTGCTTATTTGTTCCACATGATTATCATTAAGTGTTGTACCTTATGATTCTTGACGAATGTCTCTTTTCTTTTATGTACACTGAGAGCATATGCACCAAAGACAAATTCCTTGTGTGTCCAATCACACTTGGCCAATAAAGAATTCTATTCTATTCTATTCTATTCTATTCTATTCTATTCTATTCTATTCTATTCTATTCTATTCTATTCTATTCTATTCTATGCCATGCCATGCCATTCCATTCCATTCCACTCCATTCCAATTCTATTAAATTCTTCTCTATTCTATTCTATTCTATTCTATTCTATTCTATTCTATTCTTCTATTTATTCTATTCTTCTACTCTATTCTACTCTATTCTAGTCTTCTCTAGTCTACTCTACTCTACTCTACTCTACTCTATTTCTATTTCTATTCTATTCCACTCCACTCTACTCTACGGATGCTTCCCTCTTGACATCCCAGCCTCCTCCTAGGAAGAGCCCCCAAGATGCACCCCCCCAGGCAGGAATCACCTGTATTTGAACGCCTTCGAATGCCGAAGTCCCAGCTTGAGGTAATGTCCACGGACTGAGAATACACATAACCCTGAGGTTCGCCGTTGCTGCTTGGTCCTTCCGAGCTGCCTTCCCCGTTGGCCGAAGCCGGATGGAACCTCTCCAGGTCGACGTCGTGGTCGATGAGGACCATTTCACACATCCCCGTGTCATCGCTGGTCACATGCGACTGTCGGATGTGAGCCAGGATAATAGCCGGGTTATCCAAGAAAGCCATCCTAACCCAGGTTCTACTGCCTTCGCCTACTATCTCCTCCGATCCATGCTGAGCCGACGTCTTCGTTACCTGTCGGACAGAACAGAAGAGGACAAGCTTAGGAAATGATGCCAAATGGGATTGCAGGAGGCCCTGGATTTACAACAGCTCGTTTAGTGACCATTCAAAAGTTACAAAGACACTGAAAAAAAGTGACTCGTGACCATTTTTTTCCCACACTTATGACCACTGCAGCATCCTCCGTGGTCACGTGGTCCCCTGCTTGGGCGAGGGGGATGGATGGGGTTGGACTAGTTGGCCTCCAAGGTCTGAAAGACCGTGGCAAGGAAGGTCACAGAACGGAGCGAAACTAATTTAACAACTGACAATGAAATTTTGGGCTCAATTGTGGTCGTACGTCGAGGAGTACCTGTTGTCAAGGTTCCGACGGATGGCACGTTCCAAGTGAAGCCAACTCTGACCCCACGTAATTTATGACCTAGGAATGACCCTGTTTCCCCCCCTCCTCCCCCCAGGGTGTGTCATCAGTCACATTCACCAACGGAGCAATTTCGCGGGCTGTAGAGATCACTCCCCTCTGGCCGCTGTGGGTAACCCTGGGAGACAGCCTTGAGAGAGATATGTCTGGAATGTACTTTTGTTTTTTGGCTGCCGTACTGCTTCGCCGGTTTTCCCATCCCCCTTGTCTATGGCAACTCGAGAGCAGGCCAGAGATGCTTTGCGAGTTGACACCTGTCTAATAATTAGTCAGGGAAGTCTGTGACATTGAGATAGCATAGTGGCAGGAATCTTCTAACCCAGATCTGTTTAGTGTCTGATCAAGTACAATCCCCCTCCGACTTTGATCGTCCAAGCAAAACCTGGACAGCACTCAACTGGATTCAAACCAACTATGGTAGTGGCCAAGATTGGAAATACAAAGGAGGGAGGACTGGTTGATAATCCTAACTGCAACTGTGGGAATGTCCCACAAACTTTACGTCGTATTGCGATGAACTGTCCCATCAGAAGGTTTCTTGGAACCCTGCAAGAACCGTTCTCCAATATGGTTAAACGATCTAGATATCCTGCTAAAGGCTGAGCTACTTCAGTAATTGTTCACACACAATTTAATTTCCATCCTAATTTCATTCGGCTTTGGTATGGTGCGTTTTTTAACACAATTCACTGTTCTGGCGTTTTATGTTTGGAAATGTATTTTATATAGAGCCGAGATGGTGCAGTGGTTAGAGTGCAGTACTGCAGCTACTTCAGCTGACTTCAGCTGACTGCTAGTTCAGCAGATCAGCGGGTCAAATCTCACCGGCTCAAGGTTGACTCAGCCTTCCATCCTTCCGAGGTGGATAAAATGAGGACCCAGATTGTTGGGGACAATATGCTATTTAGAATACTGTCTTTGGTGTAAGCCGCCCAGAGTCCCCGGAGAGTGGGCGGCATAGAAATGTGAATAATAAAATAAATAAATAAATTAAATATGCTGACCCCACAGTCATCCTCCTCCTCCTCCTTGCCCTACTAGCACTGATGATGTTACTTAGTTGGGTAAGGGAACGTCTGCAAGAAAACGACCAAGCTCAGAGAACACGCGGGAGCCCACAGTTCAACCAAAAACGACAAATATTGTCTTCTATCAGTAACATATTTATAACGTGATTTAGGAATCGAGAGTGGATTAGCTCTTGGCCTTACCGAGTACAGCTCTTCCTAAGCTAGAAAAAGTGCAGAGGAGAGCAACCAGGATGATTAGGGGACTGGAGACTAAAACATACGACGAACGGTTACATGAACTGGGCATGGCTAGTCTATTGAAGAGAAGGACCAGGGAAGACATGATAGCCGTCTTCCAATATTTGAGGGGCTGCCACAGAGAGGAGGAAGGGGGTCAAGCTCTTTTCCAAAGCACCCGAAGCCAGACAAGGAATCATGGATGGAAATTGACCAAGGAGAGATTCAACCTAGAAATGAGGAGGAACTTTCTGACAGTGAGAACAATCAACCGATGGAACAGAAGTTGCCTTCAGAAGTTGTGGGAGCTTCATCCCTGGAAGAGACTGGACTGCCATCTATCAGAAATGGTGTAGAGCCTCGGGGGGGTTGGACAATGATTTATAAGGTCCCTTCCAACACTGTTAATCTGTTAAACTTTGGTACGATGACATGAAAATGTCCAGGTTCTTTTTCAATTCAACAGATACTCCAGCCAGATAGCTGAGTTGATGAGTTAATAAAAAGCCATTCTTGGCTACTCCATCCTAGGTCAAATGCTCAGCCAAAAGCTCTTTTTTTTAAAAAAAAAAATGACAATGGTCCAAAGAAAAAGGAAGCATTTTTTGCTTCGCCAGGCCTCCTCTTCCTCCCCCCCTCCTTCTTCTTCCTCTTCCTCAGCTTGAAGCACCTCAAAGACCTAAGGACTCAAGTCAAAAATTACTGCTGCCCCATCCATGCCGTCACATAATCGTTGGCATGTTAATTGTGTATTTATAAGATTGTTAATGGTTAGTTAATTTACCTCCCACGCTATTATTGTGCTTGAAAATGATTTAATGTCTGCCGAGGGAGTTAAACAACAGGCTAACAGCAGGTGCAAAGGCCCGTTTATATATTTATTTCCATCTTCCTGTGCACTGAACCCCAACTTTACACTGTTTACGGCGTGAGTGGGAGGCTTGGAAAGGATGCGGGCTTCCTTAGAAGCTCTCACAACTGGCATCCTTTTCAACCAGTCGAAAGGGCTAATGGGAGTGGGAGAGGGACTATTATTTGTAAATATACTATTCCCGTGCCAGGCTAGAGATACGGTGGGCAAAACAACGACAGAGAAGCAGGAAAAACCGCAACCTGCTTTCCCGGTGAACTCAAAACTGTCTGGTTTTTCTTTCTTTTCTTTTTTTTTGGAAATAAATGGGTTTGTTTGGACGGATGTCAAAAATGGGGAAAAAACAACAACAATTGGACGAAAATACACACATGGTTAGAGAAAATGATAATGCAACACATAGATTGAAAGCCAGAAATATTTTTTGTTAGGCGTAAAGGTAAAAAAAGGTTCCCCTTGCACATGTGTGCTAGTTGTTCCTGACTCTAGGGGGCGGTGCTCATCTCCGTTTCAAAGCCAAAGAGCCAGCGCTGTCCGAAGACGTCTCCGTGGTCATGTGGCCGGCATGACTCAACGCCAAAGGCGCACGGAACGCTGTTCCCTTCCCACCAAAGGGGGGTCCCTATTTTTCTACTTGCATTTTTTTTGCATGCTTTCGAACTGCTAGGTTGGCAGAAGCTGGGACAAGGAACAGGAACTCACCCCGTTACGCGGCACCGGGGATTCGAACCGCTGAACTGCCGACCCTTTCGATCGACAAGCTCAGCGTCTTAGCCGCTGAGCCACCGCGTCCTTCTTTTGTTAGGCATAGTACCAGAAAAATATGACAAGAGAGGTCAATGGGGAAGCCAGATTCGCTTAACAGCCGTTGGATCAGCTTTAGAACAGCAGTTGTAAAGTGGGACAAAGCTCAGTTACGGAATGACGGGAATTTTGGGCTCAATTGTGGTCATAAGTCGAGGTCTACCTGTGCCAGGCTGCATGCTACCTCTGGCTGCAGATGCAGCGGGCAAAACAAGAGCCCGAAGAGCAGCGAGGATGGCAAAATTTTACTCGCGTGGGCTGCGTTTGAAAAGCAAAGCGTAGCAAAAGGAAGTTCCAAGGAACCAAATCCATTCCTAAGCAATCTCTCGTCACCGAGCGTCTCGTATTATACGAGGGACGGCAGGAAGAGACACAAGAGGGAAAGCTTCCTGATTATCCCGATTAAACGGGAATCGGAAAAACAATCTCTTATTTTCCTTACGTTCTCTCAAAATTGCAGCCCCTGGTTCCTTGGCCAGCGAAAAATGATTACCGTAAGTGAGCTGTGTCTCCCAAATCATTAATAAAGAATGGAGACTTGGTGCATCTTAAAGTATAAAGATATTTCCTACCCCCACTCCTACAGATACCGCTTTAGAAGGATGTGTGATGTTAGCAACGAAGGGGGGGGCGGGCGGTAAATATCACATTTTTTGCAAGAACGCATCAACAGTTTGTCAGCTGCAGCTTTCTGAAGTCTCTAGAGTGGAGGATAGTTTAAAAAAAAAAAAGACAACAACACCTCCTATTCCTGGCCGCATTGCCATTGTTCCTAAATCCAAGAGTCTCTCAATCCGGCTCCTTCAAGCAAAAGATGTTTTCTCTGCTATTGACATAAGGCTCTTGGCAATGTGTGTCAATTCCCAGGTACTTGACACAAGAAGAGAGACGAAGGGTGGGAGGAGAAAAGGGACTCCTTTCTCGGGGTAATTGAAAAACATCAACGCTGGAAAAATAGATTCGCAAATCAAGCAGGGATGCTTGGAGGTGGACACATCAGGAGGAGGAGGAGGAAGATGAAGAGGAGAAAAGGAGGATGGGAAGGAAGAAAAAGAAGAGGAGGAGGAAAGAAGAAGAGGAGGAGAAGGAGGAAGAAGAAGAGGAGGAAGAGGAAAGAAGAGGAGGAGGGAGAGGGAGGAGAAAGAGGAGAAGGAGGAGGAGAAGGGAGAGGGAGGAGGAGGAAAGAAGAGGAGGAGAAGAGCAGGAAAGAAGAAGAGGAGGGAGAGGGAGAAGGAGAAAGAGGAGGAGGAGGAGAGAAGAAGAGGAGGAGGAAAGGAGGAGGAGGAGGAGAAAAGAAGAAGAGGAGGAGGAGGGAGAGGGAGAAAGAGAAAGAGGAGGAGGAAAGAAGAAGAAGGTTGAGGAGGAGGAGGGAGAAGGAGAAGAAGAAAGAGGAGGAGGAGAAGAAGAGGAAGAGGAGGGAGAGGGAGAAGGAGGAAGAAGAAGAGAAAGAAGAGGAGGAGGAAAGAAGAACAGGAGGAGGGAGAGGGAGAAGGAGAAAGAGGAGGAGGGAGAGGGAGGAGGAGGAGGAGGAAGAGGAGGAGGAAGAAAGGAGGAGGAGGAGAAGAGGAGGAAAGAAGAGGAGGAGGAAGAGGGAGAGAGAGAAGGAGAAAGAGGAGGAGGAAAGAAGAAGGTTGAGGAGGAGGAGGGAAAGGGAGAAGGAGGAAGAAGA